GTCAGTAGTAGGGTCAAGAACGGCCTCGAAACTTCTATCGGTACCAACACATACAATGTGGTAGCAGCAGTCAGTGTGAGTGAGGTGACTTTGGTATCTCACCTCACCACGTTAGTGTCTACCCTGGACGTAGGGGGTCGAAGACTTACCTCAAATTTGAGTACCATGAACCACGGCATTATGAATGCACTCAGCACGCACGAGAATAATGCGACATCTCGCCATGAGCATTTGACGACTGCCATGGACACGATCGAGCAAAACCAATGTGCACATTTCGAGGCAACGAACAAAGCATACGACACGACCGCCTCAGCCGCTCAAAGGCCTCGCCAGGATATCTTACATCTCAGACGGAATACGAACAAAGTAACAACTGCTCCCAGATTCCCAGTCCGAATCTCATAGCGTATCGCGGAGGTAACATTCCTACCAGCTAGATCACAACGAATGCGACAGATAAATGTATATTCTTAGCGGAGCCTAAAGATGTCTGACAAAAGCGAGGTGCAAGTGGAAATTCATAACGAATTCTGTAATTATTCGATGAAAGTGGAAGAGAAGGAAAAGATTGAGCGAAGCTTGAACGCTGGAGGACGAGGTTGGGATGCGAACGAGAAAGTGGTGTTACATGATACATGTGCAATAGACGGACAATGTACGTCGATCTCCGAACAACAACGATTTTCTGTTAAGGAACTGCCCTAGTTCGATGGTGAGAGGCGTGCATCTATGATTATGATATCATGAATTTGTCAAGTACAGGCCGTGATTATGATAGCGCACCTCTTCATTCAGTAGTATCCCCCGTTCGGACAAGGCTCTCCTGTGCTCGGTTAGTGTTTCGCGAAGCGCAGTGGTACATTTGGCACGTATACATCGCTAGCAGCGACCATAGCGAGTAGCGCTAGATGCGACACGCACTAACAAAGGTTTGTCAGACTGGGCTCCTAGGTCTTCGTACTTGTTAATACCCTCAGAAGTGACGGCGTTGCACATGATAGTAAACCAGTTAGGACAAGGGCACCAGTTGTTTAAATGAGAGACTGAGTGACGTTATGCCAGTAACGGCTCGATACTACGAATATGTTTATAGTACATGTCTATCACATGTGCTCGAAAGCACGGGGGTATCAAAGAAAACATAGGGTCAAAAAAGATCTAAATGCTCGCTGAATGACATATGGAAAGCGTCGAAACAAGTATGGGGCATAGCTCATATAGGAAAGTTCGTTGCATGTCGGCTTTTCAGCTCTGTGTCGTGTACATGTGTATATGTTCATGCAGTTGCGACGTCGAGTCGCGGTAGGGTTGCGGTTGTTGGGCCATCATGTGTTGCTGTGGATGCTGATGGTGCTGCTGAATAGGGTGTTGGGGTTGTTGATGCTGATGCTGGTGAAGATGAGGATGGCGCATGCCCATTGCTGCGGAAGTATAGTCAGGGTGTATATCTGATGATGCTTGACTCATTTGCGACGATGGTCTAGGATGAGTATTGCTTCTGGAGCTGCTGAGTCGATTGCCTATCTTAGAAAGCGGCTTCGAGATCATTTGGCCGAATGAGGGACGGTCATAGTATTGTGACTCTTCAAACTGTGGAGCCCCACCGAAATAGTTGGGGTACAATGTTTCTAGTGGGTTGGGCGGGACCTTGACTTGCTCCATGTATTCGTCGTGATACATATGGGTGTGTTGCTCGGGATCCATGATTGGAGTGTGGGCATGAGGTGTGTGCATCGTGGATGTTGTCATAGCCGGTGGGAGATCAGGTATAGCTGGTTGCGCTACGTCAAGGTAGTTCCCAGGGTCCACGTCCATGTAGCTAATGCGACGGTTATTCGTATCCACCGCGGGGGTTTGCGGCTCCACAAATGGCGAGGAGCCACAATCATAGTCAGGTACGTGCGCTAGAGAACTACAGATACGTAGTAACGCTGCGTTGATGCTCGCGAGCCGCGCTCGCGAGTGCTGTGGATTGGAATTTCCAATGAGAATGTGCATGCGCTGCTCACGTGATAGCTTCTCGACATGCGGTACGGAATCTCTTGAAGGAGTCACGAAACCTGGAGGTAACTGCTGGTGCACAGAGTCCAGCTGTATGTCAGCGCGGAGACTCAAGGCGGTAATTAAGACCTCTTCTCGACTTGGTCGAAGATCGCAACATTGAAGCTTCTGTCGGAGGATTCTCGAGTTGTCGGGACACCAACTAATCTGCGACCGACTCTCTCGTAGTCTCTCATCCAAGCAACCTATAAGCTCTTTCCAAGTATCGTGAAGTGCTTCTTGTCGTATCAGATTCCGGATGACATTCGAGTATTTCCATTGGTCCATCGTTGCGCCATTTTTCATGTGCTTCGCGACGTGGTCACATCGCTCATCCCACCCGATGCTAACCTCTTTGCACTTGTCAAACCCACAACCAAACACTCTTCTTGGCAATAAGGTGATGCCGATATCCGTTAGAGAAGGTAAAGGCCGACCGGCATGGTAGCGTTGATGATGCTTGATGAAGTCTTTTTGGCGGTCGAAGATACGGTTACAACCATTGACGACACACGGCCAGTCCTCTCCAGTCTCATGCATCCTCATCTCGTGTTTCTTCCAATCAGATTTGGCCTTGAACGTCTTCTGGCTCTTTTGTTCGGCACAATAGGTACAAAACATGAACGGTTCGCCAGATTGGCTCTGAGACTTGTCATCGTCCGGGATCAATGATGGAGAAGCAACACTGATATCATCTGTTGGTGTATAGCTTGGCTCCATCTTGAGGTCGAGTGGGCTCTCAGTATCCACATGAGGCATAGTAGCGGGCACCGGACGCGTCGGATCAAGACCAGCTGGGTAGGAGCGTGGTTCCGCTCGTCTCTTGGAGCGCGATGACGATGAGGAAGCGATGGAACCTCGCGTGTCACTGCTGCCTGTGGACGACGAGAAGGTTGATGCCATAGAGAGTCGAGACCGCCATGATGACCCAGACGAGGATGTCGTGGTTGAACTAGCAGTGCTGGTGGACATGAATGACGAGGCTGTGGAGTTGCGGCCTAAACTTGGTAAGCATATACACACACAACCGGGCGGCGACGAACATACGCGAGTCTATCGCTTGTGAGAACATTCTCTGAATTAGGTGTGGAGGATGCCTCGCCAGCAGGGCCTCAATATGTCGCATAGACTCCTCCGGTATGTCTAGATTGTCCTCCATGTTGGCTAAAGAGCCGTATGCTCAGTTCAATTCGCGCGACAGAGGACTACTGTAACATGCCGACTACACCTCGCGACAATTCAAACGAGTGAGAAGCTAAAACGAACGACAGGCGGAGGTGCAAAGGAGGGTGGGGAAGGGTATCCAGGTGTCGCGGTAAGACTAGGGGCCAAGGAGTGGATAATCGTGTATCCGAGCAGGCATCAGCTGCTGTTGGTGCGACAGGTTGATATACAAGTGGGATCACCTCACGCAAGACTGCAGCGGGGAGCGCGGAAACGGCACTCTTCTAGAAGACGTATGGAAGGATTGTAGAAGAAGCTAATTGTGGGTTGCTCGCGGGGGCGCTCGTGCGCAACATCGACATGACCACTGCCCTGGTTTGGCCTCAAAGCTGGGGCAAGGCTGAGGTTACGACAGGCGTGCCAATCTGTAGCGTGTTTGAGGTGGCCGCAAGGAACCGTAGTAGGGGCTGAAAGAACACGAGGACCAGCGACGAGAATGAATGAAATGATGTGCGCGCATCCACGACAAAAGTCTCTGCCAGCGTAGGTTTAAACACGGTTTGCCTAGGTCGATTCCGGTCGAGATATGGCCGGGCAAAGTGTCTGCGCGAGGCGATGATTCGCACAGACGTGGTGTGCAAAGCACGTAACCTATCGCAGATACGCAACAGGCCATTCGCAACGAAGCCATCCGAATACTAGGCCCTGTAAGGGGCATGCAGCGCGGTACCTGGATGACGCACCGCTGGTTAACTGCTGGAAGCGTGTTGGTGCCGTGATGAGTGACATTTTTGGTGGGACCTGACATGAGCTATCTGTTCATCCTGCACGCCGAATATCGGCATCACGCCGTCGCTTAATCCGGAGACCCAGTTCTTGCAGTTCGCGCCAGACGATGAAGGATTCACACCATCTGTCAACCACCGTCGACTGACGCAAGACTTGCTCGCAATGCTCATAACTCACGCAGATCAATCAGGACTCGAGTACCATGCCCACGATGATGAACTTGAGACAGGTGGCTGACAGAATGGGGTGCTGACGGCAGAAGCACGTCCCCCATGCATAACCAGTAGCAGCGAATGAATGCTTCGGGACTGCGATTGTAGCAGTTGGGCTGCTGCAGGCCGTCATCGCTGAAGATGCCCATGCAACTGGACGGTATCGCGTAATCGACGCGCAGTGAAAGGACACTTCGACTAGTGTAGGGTTAATGTAAGGAGACGGAAGCCTGCCACAACGGGCAGGAAGAGGCCGGGTAAATCCATTAGTTCAAAGATAACAGCCTTAGCTAGAGCGCTCGACTGCTTGGTATGAGGACCCGGACGGTGCGGTAACATGAAGGTGTAATTAACAGCATCACGCTTCTCCCGGGTTGTGTTCAATGTACCCACAGTGGGGCGGCGTCCCTGATGAAAGCGGCGCGATTGTTCGGGTCCCGAAACGCCACGGCACTTTTGGGGATCGTCCAGACCGCGAACGATTTCTTCAAACCGTTGAACAAACTTTGCCTGGGCGCGGATTTAAGCAGTGCACCATTGGCGCGACACCGGCTTAACGTTGAATTGTACGTCACGTGGGCGCATGCGCAGTTCATTCGGAGGTCGCGATGCTCCACAATCCAGAAGCAGCCAGTGTTACACCCCTTCATCGATCCGTCCAACGATCTACACGACGACTTTCGCTCAATGCATGCCGTCTTCTTAGGCTCAATAGATGATAGCGCACCGCACCCGGCGCGTCGGTCTAATTTATCTAACACGAAGCATAACGCTTGTCCTATCATTATCTGATTATACAAAGTGTCCATCGCAGTCAAAGTTGCCTGCCGTCTTGAAGTTACAAGAACTCTCCAATCCGCCCCCGGTGATATGAACGTCGTCAATCTTGATGTTGCTACAGCTTCCCTCTCCACAGAGGATATAGTAGTTCTTTCCCTCCTCTGTTGCAGTACCGGTGATGTTCCTCATGACAATGTTCTGGATGATGACACCGTTCGTTGGGCTGCCGGTTGGTCCACCGTTCAGGTAGTCTTGCTGGATATCAATTCCGTAGATGGATATGTTCTCAACGCGAATGTTCTCGAAAAGGATATTGGAGATGAAGCCGGTAGTGTTCGAGTTCGACTTGATGCGGGCTCCGTTCTCAGCGTTCAGAACGACAGAGTTGGTGAAGGATATGTTGGTAACATTGTTGTCTAAAGGATAAGGTTAGTGGGACGCGATCGAAGATGGGTAATTGAAAGGATGACATACTTGACTTTCCGCCAACTGATCCAATGGAAAGACCGTGACTGCCGTTGCAGTACATGTTGTTAACTAGGATGTTGTTTCCGCTTGTGACAGCGACACAGTCGTCTTGGTTGATAACGACGCTGTCACGAACTGTGGTGTCATTGGTGCTTCCCAAGTCGAATCCGTCGCTGTTGTGTGATGCTGGTAGGCCGTTGGAGCGGTTGTTGGGTGCATATCCAGCGCTGTTGTTCAGCGTAATGTGGTGAATATCCAGACCAGCACTGTTACTAATAGCGAAGCAGTGGACGGGATAGTTCTCGATGTAGATGTCGTGAACCGAGCTTTTCCCAAGAACCTTGCTGATCTCGATAAAGTGGTTTGGCTTGGTAAGGCCTCCGTTGCTACCAAGACCGTCCCACCAAGCTTGACCATTACCATCGAGCACCGCATCTGCGTCGGCTGTAATTTCGATGTTGGATCCTCCCACCTTGATGAAAGCATAGTTTGCATCGGCATATTCCCAGAATGTCTTTCCCTTGAATGTCACCTTGGTGCCACTCTTCAGCTTTGAAAGATCAATAGTTGAGTTTCCAGGCACGGTGAGACCATCAAGAGTTATGGAAGTGCAGGCCGCTGTTGCTGCTGGGATAGCCGCATACTCAGTCACGTAGCAGGCATCCGTAGTCGCAGTTGAAGACGGCGAGGGTACGGCGGCTGCTGTTCCTACAGCAGCAAGAATGACTGACGTAGATGAAGCTACAAGGGAGTTAGTACAGGGATGGTCCGCGTCATATACTGCTTCTAGTACCTTGGAATCGCATTTTGAAGGGGTTGAACTGATGTGAATCTCAAAAACTTCTTACATCCACAGGGTACTGACACTACTGTATATATACGTTCATGATCTTGCGGCCCCAGAATTTCCGTCCAAAGGCCACCTGCATATCCCCGACGAGTCGCCACATAATTTTGCGCGTGCGGCCACTGTAGAAATCTGAAGCCTTGTCATTTCCGACCAGAAAGCACAAGCAATCCAAGCACTAAAGCCAAGAACAGGCAAGGCTTGACAGCAGCACCATGCAAGAGGAGGTGTTCGCCCCACCACCAGGCACTGGGAAGTCAGTGCTAGCACGGGGAACGGCTCGGAAGAACGTGGGGCGTGGCCGGCCAGTCCGTGGCGAAAGAACAAAGACGCGTTCTGTTTGGTCGAAACGTTGCAAATGTACGACATGAAACATTCATCCGGGGTGCCACCAGCACATGGTGGAAAGGCGGAGTGAATGCGCGGAAAAATGGATTCCGTCCAACGGTATGGCTACTTAGTGCGAAGATGACCAGATGACTGATCGCGGAAATGATGCAGGACGGCGGGAATTGCGTAGGCCATAAATAATCCACGATGTCATGCGCTATCAACCAGAGGTATCCAAAACTCCCTTATCCCAACATACGAAGAAGAACCGAGAATACACATATACGGCAAACTGCAATCTATCTGAAATGATCGCAGCGCTGGTAGAAGGAAAGATTTACCTTAGAAACGTGAACTCGGAGAGAGCCATGTGACTAGCGGCTTGGCATGGCCCTGGTTTCCGGATCGATGCATGCGCAACCTTCTCGTTCCTCTGTGCTGAGTAGACCCTGACATAATTATGCAGGGCGCAAAAGGCCAAGATTGCAACGCGTATGTCAGCGGAAGTTACGGATGTATCAGAAAGCTTTGTAAGGCTTCGAGGCTTAGGTCAGGGCTACTTTTGCATTCTTCAACAAAGACCAAAACATACATGGATATGTATCTCAGGGGCTGAATCTGCCAACCTTCCGACGCCCATCAAATCGCAAGCTATCTTGCAATCATTCAATTTGATACAGGAATCACGCAAGGTAAAGTAGCTCATATCTGAGAGTATCTCAGCCGCAGTCGGCATATACGAACGCGTCGCACTTGTTCAGATCATAAGTCATTACAAAAGTCCCGGAAGTATACCTTCGCGCCTTTTCGAGAACTTTCGGACCGAAGTGAATGCCGCACGTACAATCTTGTGTAACAGGCCTTGATATCGGTTGCTTACTGAGAAGGACAAACAAAGACTTCGATGTATCATGACACATGCAAGACCACATCTTGAGTACGATCAATCGTTGAATAGGTCTTGGAGTTGACGGTCGATGATGACAAGCGAAAGAGGCTTTATACACACAGGCAGGCATATAGACACCCCGAAACCCACAGAGCTCGTGACGAGGCGTGAATGTATATCCACTTCTGTCGATCAAAACCTCCATATAAAGTCTTGCTAAGTGAGGCCAGAAGAATACAGCCTGCTCATTCCGGCATCTTGGGACACCAAAAACTCTGCTCCTGAACACTCGTTGGAGACTGTGTTGCTGCACGATGAAGGTCTGGGTGCATGAAACACCATAGAATAGACCCACTCTCCTCCAAAGTTACCAGCTGCGATGCCACGACCTGTGAATCATGTCCTCTTTTCGATGCTTGACAAAGTCTTCAACTTCATTCTCGAGAATGAGCAGAACTGACATGATCCATACTTTTCACTCCTGGCAGACATGAGTCTTCGTAGAGGCTCAGGTTCCATGGCTAAGTGCGCATGAGTTTGTTTGAATGTTGCAAAGCAGCTTGTGAACGGGGGCAGGAGGCAGGGAAGTAGAAGGCCTCATATAAACTTGGCAGACAAAAGATATGACGAGACGTGAGACATGTACAGCAAGTGCGGACATGGTCTCCGTCTTTGTCACTTTTGATGTCCCTAAAAGACAACGGCCATTGCTGACACAATCGTCTACCAACAATCAGTCCATCAATCTTATACATCATTTTCATCGATTTACTCACAAAGCCAGTCATACCCACCCATAGCTTCATACCCATACCCTCGATCTTAGCTGCCTCTCCTTCCACCGGCGCCGTCACACTCGATGTCGACGAAGCAGAGTGCTTCGCTGTTTTGCTTGCCCGCGCCGTACTAGAAGAGCCATATCCTGCTGTAGAAGTTGCCGTTGCCGTCGAATCAAGAAAGGATTGCCAGGCCTCTGCAGGTGACAAGGTTGCCGTTTTAGTTGGATACGGGACAAATAACCCCGTCGGCGTGTTTGTATTTGAATCTTGTGAGTTGTTGTCAGGTGCGTCAGGTGTTTCTGGTACTTCTGGTTTTGGCCGGTTTGGTCTTGCTGCTGGTACTTGGGGTTCATTGGGCACAATAGGCGAGAGGGGTTCGTCTGGTGTTATAGGTCTTGGGATGGGTCGCGGTGGCGGTGGAATAAAAGCTGCGGAGGATGTTGCGACAAAGAGAAGACATAATAGGGAGTGTGGTAGCATTTTGAAGGGACGTTAAAATTGGAGTCTGGAGCGGATGACGAGATTTGAGATATCGGGGCTGGTTAGGGAAGAGATACGGGTCCTGGTACTTCTAGCCATGTTGTATATACCCATAAAGTCTGCGTGTTTCAAGGCGTCCAGATTGTGTCCAGCCTCATCATAACATTGCGGCGGAGCACCAACTGACAGAGTGGGAATATGCCTCGCGCTTCGCTTGGGCAGCCACCGCCTAATCAAGTATTGGGGGCCAAAAACAACAACTTCTGACTTCTCCTCAAGTAAACAGCTCGACAGAGTGGTCATACGCGAAACTTCTCCTAAGGCCTAAGTTGTCAATTGAGCGGAGAAGAAATATTGAACAACACCACGCCCTCTAGTATACCTGAAAATCCCAGCACCCTTATCAACGCCATCGCTATGCGCACGTACAAGGGGAGTACAACTGTTATAGTACATCGTACGAACCGACCAATCACATCTCTCACTTGTCCGCATTATCGATATATCTCGTCAAATGGCCTGGTATCCCGGAAACAACTATCCCATACTTCGTTGACTACCTTTCCAGCATGCTCTTGGTCCTTTATGCCTGGCCTAGCCATCATACTCAACGTCGCTCTCCGTCTAACACACGATTGTAGTTGTTCGGTGATGCGCCACTGGTTCCGCGTGAAGAACTCTCTAGAGAAACGACATTCGCCGCTGAGTGTGGAAGCGCGTATCTCAAGGCAAGCCTGGTGTCGCAGGTTCTCGGACTCGACTTTAAATTTTAGATGGTCCCACGCGTGAACCATCTCGTGCGCCATGGTGTCTTCCTGGTGTCCGCGATTGCGGAACTTGTTGGCGCAGAGGAGGATGCCGTGGTCGAGGGAGAAACCGCCCGATTGCTCATTCGTGCACATGCGGCACAGTATATTGTCCTTGTTCAGATCGCCTCCCAGTTTGTATACTTCATCCGACAGGAAGCGTATAATGGGACTGTATTGTAATAGGTATTCCTTGTTCGACTCGCATCGCTTGCATATCGAGTCTGCTTTTATCTTGTCCATTTCGCTGAAGTAGCCCTTTTCTAATTCGATGTCTCGAGAACCTGTCATGCGACCGAGCATTATGTTGAAGGTACTGCTCCATGTGTAGTATACAGGGTCGATCTTCTGAGGGGGTGGTTGGGCCATGGCGGAGAGGGATGCGCCATCGGGCGCCGTCTCGGGGTTTGCCATGGTATGGTTCGGCGGTGTGCAACTTTGGAGTTTGGTGACCGGAGTGAAGGGCGCAGATGTGTGGCGTGACGTACAACGATGTTTACGGTAGGGCGTGTTCTCAATTCCCGTCGCGAAAAGTTTAGGTGGAGATGGGGAAGGAGCTGGTAGCGCGGGGAGCCAATCGGAGGGAAGACGTCACCGCGAGCAAGGGAGCCCGAAGATCGCTTGCGAGGGAAACTTGGGCTTGTTCCAGTCATCAGTTGCGCAACAATATAAAGAGCGGCGTCTATGTGATGAAGCGCTGAGCTCCAACTACATCTCAGCGGTCCCCTTTTCTCCTACAACCTTCTTGACTATCCCACATCTGCGCCTGCCGCCATTGTATCACACCCTCTTTCGCAATGGCTGTCCATATGCGCAAGCAGCCCGGCCAACTCACCGTCGTGATAAAACTCGGTAAATACAGAACAGTACTTAATTCGCATCGAAAAGAAGAGAGCACCTGACCAACACAACCAGGAACCTCATCCATAGTTGACGAAAAAACACATCAGCCCCTCCTCTCCATCCTCTCTCTCATTGTCGAGACAGCATGCAGCCTACGCACCGCCGGTCACCGCGTCGTAATTGTATCCTCTGGTGCCATTGGTGTGGGTTTACGGCGTATGAATCTCCCACGACGTCCAAAACACCTCCCACAAGTCCAAGCGCTTGCGGCTATCGGTCAAAGCAGACTGATGTCGCTATGGGATCAGCTATTTGGCAACTTGGAGCAACCAATTGCTCAGGTGCTGTTGACGCGAAACGATATTGCCGATCGAACACAGTACCAGAATGCGCAGAATACATTCATTGAACTCCTGAGCATGGGTGTCATTCCTATTGTGAACGAGAACGATACTTTGGCCGTCACTGAAATCAAGTTTGGTGACAACGATACGCTGAGTGCTATAACTGCGGGTATGGTCCAGGCGGATTACCTCTTCCTTATGACGGATGTGGACTGTCTGTATGACAAGAATCCGCGCACCAACCCAGACGCAAAATCCATTGCTGTTGTGGAAGATATTGCAGAGCTGGCAGCAGATGTAAGCTCGGCCGGCAGTTCCCTGGGAACAGGCGGTATGAGCACCAAGATCGTAGCAGCAAGGTTGGCGACAAGTGCGGGTGTCACGACAGTCATTACGAAGAGTAGTAAACCAGGCAACATCTCGGGAATTATTGCGCACGCAGAGAAACAAAGAAAGGCAAGGATGTCAAGTCGGAATTCCGTCACCAACTTGCAGGAAGAAGGCGCAGCACATGCTCAAGCAGCCTTGCAAGATTCAAACCACGATCTCTCTGCATCTACAGCCTCGCTAGGCGATCAACAGCTCGCTGGAAGCGCATCGCCCAAACCAGAAGAACCAGTGCCCCTACACACCCGTTTCCTCCCGATATCCAACCCAATCCGCGACCGCTACTTCTGGATCTTGCATGGTCTTGCGCCCCACGGGACGATATATATCGACCAGGGTGCATGGGCTGCGTTGAGCGATAAAGCTGGACTACTACCTGTCGGCATCGTAGAAGTAGACGGCCACTTCGCCCAGCAAGAAGCCGTACGCATTGTCGTTGTCAAACGTCTATCCAACCCATCACACTCTCCCAAACCAGTGCAATCACCAACGACCCCGCAACCGCCTACAACGCCTGGCGCTCTAGCCCACGGCGTACACGCCCCAATTCCAATTCGACATCCCCTTACGCACTCATCGTCATCATCGTACTCGATGAGTTCCTCCCAGACACTGCAGCACCCACCCAATTACGAACTGCACAACCCAGCACCGATTGAGATTGGGCGAGCAGTAGTGAACTACTCAGCTACCGAAATTAGGAGAATCAAAGGCCTCCATTCGACGCAAATTAGTGAGGCGTTGGGTTATGCGGATAGTGAGTATGTGGCGTTGCGAGAGAACATCGCTTTCTTCGGGAGCGAGAGGAGTAGACCTAGCACGCCCGACTTTAGGCATGGAGAAAAGAAGAGTGAGATGGTCGAGGCGCATTGAGGCGGGTATCTTCGTAGCGCGTAGATGGCAAATAGAAATGGGTCAAGAATGAAGATTGAAATGCTTGCATTGCATGCGATGTGGGGTGTATACCCCCATGAATATACCAAACGCCAACGGCAAACCGAAGACTCCAAGCAATGCGACTATAAGCGCGACTAAGAAAAAAAAATCAATGACTTCCGTGCAGAACGCCCTTTCGCCGTCGTAAATGTTAGACATTATGTAATGAAGACCAAGAACAAGTCTAGTAGCTCTCCTCAGATTGCTCTGAGCTGCTGCGGATCTTGCCCCCAGAGGTACGCTCGTAAGCTCGTGGGCTGCCCTTGCAGTGCTTCACGATCCACGGGTGTACCTCAACGTCCTCGAGCGCGATACGCTTCTCAGGATCAAGTACCAGTAGTCTCTTGATGAGATCCCGTGCTTCTGCGCTGACAAAGCTTGGGACTGTGTACTCTCCCCTCGCAATCTTGCGCTGTGTCATGACTTGTGTGTCCTCAAAAGGCGCTTCGCCGACCAAGAACTCATATGTCAAGACACCCAAGCTCCACAGGTCAACCTTCTCAGAGTAGTAGTTGTCCTTGCCGCCACCGCGAAGCATCTCCGGGGGCAGGTAGTCGAGAGTTCCGCACATGGTGTTTCGGCGGTTGTTGGGTGCGTGAACCGACCAACCAAAGTCAGAAATCTTGATCTCGCCGTGAATGCCTACGAGAATGTTCTCGGGCTTGATGTCGCGGTGCATGACGTGCTTCTTGTGGAGGTACTTGAGCGCTGCGGCCATTTGGGCAATGTATTGTGCTGCTTTCCATTCTGGGAAGCGTTGTTCCTTGCGGAGGTGCTTGTAGAGTTCTCCCTTGCCGGCGAACTCGAGAATGAGGAAGATTCGCTTTGCGTCGTGGAAGTGACCGAACAGCTTGAGGATGTTGGGGTGGGTGAGGTGTGATTGGATCTCAATCTCTCGGCGGACCTGCTTTTCGACTTTGCCTTGTTGGAGCTCGGACTTGTGGAGGACCTTCAAAGCGCACACAAAGCCTGACGAGCGTTCCTTGGCGAGGTAGACGCGACCAAACTTTCCCTTTCCAAGGGGCTTGCCGATTTCGAACATGCCCAGATGCCATTGTTTGGGTTGTGCGGGGTTTGAAGGAGCGGTGTAGATGGCTGACTCGGTAAGGGTGCGGCGGTGAGATGGGTTTTGTTCTGAGGGGCGGCTGGCGCTTGCTGTGATGGTGACCTTGGCGATGTTTGCCGTCTTTGCGTTTTGTGTGGCAAGCTTCTGTAATGGAATCTGATGGGGCAGCTTCATGCGGTTTGCAGCTGATTGTGACGACGACAGGCCGGATGTGGTTGCCGAAGACTTTGACTCTGTTAGAAGTAGCTCTACACGACAGACGAATTGATGCACACCTTTGCCTTGTGGTAGGTCGTAGTGGTGGTCGTGGATGTGACCTGGTCATCGTTCTCATCGTTGATGGTGGTGCGCTCAAAGGCGGCTTCGAGGTTTGCAACGTCGGCCATGGCGATGTCGAGATGCAGGCTGAAGCGACAGGAAGCAGGCAGTACGGCAGCAAAAGACGTGCCCAAGGGTATTATGGAATGCTATGTTGATGGTTGTTCAAGGTTCAGGGACGGCATGCCAGCTAGTTAACCACAAACAAGTGGGTTTCACACGTTGCTATGGGAGACGGAGATCGGCGGTCGGAGCTTTTGTTCGCGCCCCCCTCCAAAGAAACTCCCCGCCATCGGGCCCACCTGCAGCTGGCAGCGAAGAAGAGGAAGAAGAATCCATACCGTCGCTCACCACACTACATTCTTCCGAAAGGGTCTCGTCGCATACATCTCAAAACATGGCATCGCTCAACGGAGCGCCCGCCGATACCGTGGCACCTGGCCACGCCGACACGTCCATCACCAAGCAAGGCTTCACCATCACCACGCGCAAACTGCCCATCCTCAAAGCCGGTCCTATAGAAGACATGACCAAGAAGTTGGGCATTGCGCCGCCTGAGATGATATTCGGCGACAACATGGTACGGATAGAACATGAGCAGAGTGGCTGGTACATCGAGTTCAATGCCTTCGATGCGCTGGATCTGGTGGACAAGACTGGCGACAAGATGTTCAAGGTGTCATACTCCAAAGAGTGGCAGCAGAACCGGTGAGGATTTATGCCGCAATGCCGCCTGAGTGCCCGCCTGACAGCTCCCAGACAGAAGCAATTCGAGGATATCAAGGAGGTCGTCAAGCCGTTCGACTGGTCCTACAGCACAGATTACAAGGGCACTACACCACCAACACCCGCCTTTGAGCCTACCGAGACTCCCATACCACTTGCTCTCCTCAAGCGACCTGATCCTATACACTTCTTCGACGAACTAGTCCTTTACGAAGACGAACTAGCGGACAACGGCATTGCCATGCTATCTTGCAAGATTCGCGTCATGCCGCAACGGCTACTATTACTTGTGCGCTTCTTCATGCGTCTAGACGATGTTATCTTCAGGATACGCGACACTCGGATATTTGTCGAGTTTGGTGACAATGTGGTGCTCAGAGAATATACGGCGAGGGAGGAGAAGTACGAGGATGTGAGAAAGAAGCTCGCAGGAAGAAAAGAGGATGTGCTTGCGATAATGCGAGACCCCAACCGCTTGGCGGAGCACATACCCATCGTGGAGCATAAGCTCGAGGGGCTGCAATTGAAGTAAGCTGGGGCGGATGCGACAGAACATCCAAAAGAAAACAAATGGGCCCACCAACATGAGAGCAACAGCGTTAGAAGCGGTAAACGGCGAACTAAATCTGCAAAACCATCAACAAGGTTTGTGCTTTGCTCGTATACCTGTTGATCGAAACCAAACTAATCTTTTGTTCAGTAATCAACTTACCAGTACTCAGAAACCAAGCATCTTAGTTTGGGAATCTGCCGTTCTACAAGCTTCAAGTACAAACGCACTCCACTTATCTTGCGGAAGCGTTGTCGAGATGCACCAATAACTCTCATGCGCGACGCGATGGTGATCCTCCATCCACTATCGTGTACATATCTAGCACATAATGCATGTAGTCGATCTTGAGCTTGATGCGCATCCATGCACAAACGATGTTCTGTGTGCGGATCTCAAGATCGTGTGCGTCTGGTCATCTGAACCGCTAAGCGTACGTACTGAGATCTCGATGGAATCTCGAGCAGACGAGCCACATGAATGTTCATGCCCGAATGCAATTCTTCATGACAGGAATGAAGCATTGAAACTCTATCTCCCAGCTTTTATATTAAACCTCACCGCTGGTGCATGCAGATCGCTGTCAGCACCGTGCGCAAGCCGTTAGGACCTGTAGGAGGTTCCTGCCTTATCACCTCCCAAGAAACAATTGAGTTCTGTAGACGCTGAGATAAGCAAGTAAAATTGCCCTAGTGCTCCATGACTGTTCATACGCGTGTACTTGATTATGTCAAGCGGATGTTGCATTCGTCCGACATAATCCTTACTCAGGGGACCGTTGTGCACCGCCTCAGATTACGACCGAAAAGTGGAAAATGGATGAAACTCAACAGACAGAAAATCACCGGAACTTGTACAACACAGAGTGGACGTCCTCGGACCATCCGGATGGCCAGCGATGCCAGCAAGGGTTTGTACGATGGAAGACGGGTACCGAGAAGCGTGGCAGACGTAATGGAGCAGCCCGAGCGATCCCTCGTCCGGAAGTAGTAAGCTGTCGATCGCGGACCAAAATAAGCGTTGGACGACAGATGCGACCCAGCATCACCACCTGTAGAGGTAAGCAACAACTGCGCATACTGAGTAGATTCGGCTTCTCCATGATGGTGGCCATATATCCTGCTTCGACTAAATGCTATGATTGTGGTGGCTTCTTCTTGGCTGCTTCCGCTTCCGCCGCCGTCCGGGCTGTGATGTCATGTTGAACATAGGAAAAAAGCAGACTCTTGACTGGGCGCCCGGTATAGTAAGACTAATTGCGGTCTCGAACCAGCACGCTGCAAGCACACTGAACGTGGATCCGCACACTTCAAATTCGGCCCTTGTAGCGCGCGCACGCTCCCAATCATCTACTACGGTGAAGGACGAATCTTACTCAAACGGTCCAAGCATCTCGTCCGAGGCGGTGGTGCCAGGACTAGTCGCGGGCATGGGGAGTGTCCGCCATCCGGGGTGCTATGACAACATAGGTCCAAACGTTGTCTAGGAGTTGATATATGTTGAACGGTCGCAGGTGGTCAGCAAAATAAGACAACACCGACGTTGACATTACACGCCAGCACTCGCCGCTGCAACTCACCATGGCTGACTTCAAGTCCAACGGCGAGGCTAACATGTCGGATACGTCATACTCTCATCAAACACAAACCCACAATACTGCTCAATCAGGGTCAGAATCTCAGACTCCTGCCCACGGTGTTGTTCGAACCGCTTCTGGCCGCGAAACCTACTTTCCCGATGGCCATGCTCATGGCAACCACGGACTCTTCTCATCGCACTCCTACACACAAGAAAGATCAACATCGGCAGGACATGGATTGTTCTCTTCCACCGAAGCGTCCCAATCTCATCCTACGGGAGAGGAGGTTGTGCCTCTCGACAAAGTCAACACATCAAGCTCATCCGACTCTTCGGAAACAAAATTCGGGTCAAATGGGGAGTCGCGAAAAGTAAAGCGAACCGCTACTTCATCTTCATCCGACAATATGGCTGGAGGCACGCTTCAACGTCGTGCCACCCGCCCTGAAATCGACGACGATGGCAGGCGGGAGTTGGCGCGCATCTTCACATCAGCTTCGAGAGTGACACAGCAGATGAGCATTGCGCAGCCCAATGACCCACGAGTGGACCCCTCCAATGAGGCCTTTGATCTTAGCAAGTTCCTGAACATGTTCCGGAACCAGCTTGAAGGTGAGGGTATCGAGATGAAGAAAGTCAACGTTGTCTACAAGAACCTCAACGTTTTCGGTTCCGGTAAGGCTCTCCAACTTCAGGACACCGTCGCGGATCTTTTCATGATGCCCTTCCGAGCGAAGGAAATCTTCGGCAAGTCAGAACGCAAGCAGATTCTCCACAGCTTCGATGGTATCATCCGAGCCGGCGAGCTTTGTGTAGTACTTGGACGTCCCGGATCTGGTTGCTCAACACTCCTGAAGGCTCTCACTGGTGAGCTTCATGGTCTGGAGACAGATGAATCACTCATTCATTACAACGGCATTCCCCAAGAGCGCATGCGCAAAGAGTTCAAGGGCGAGACAGTATACAATCAGGAAGTCGACAAGCACTTCCCTCATTTGACTGTAGGCCAAACTCTCGAGTTCGCTGCGGCTGTCAGAACGCCATCGAACCGACCCGGTGGAGCTACCCGCGACGAGTTCTCACAGTTCATGGCCAAGGTCGTCATGGCCGTGCTTGGACTGAGTCACACCTACAACACCAAGGTTGGAAACGACTTCGTCCGTGGTGTTTCTGGTGGAGAGAGGAAGCGAGTATCAGTTGCCGAGATGTTGTTGGCTGGCGCCCCGTTCGCGGCTTGGGATAACTCAACTCGTGGCTTGGACTCGGCTACTGCGCTGAAGTTCGTCAAGGCTTTGAGGGTCGGCTCCGATCTGGCTGGAGGTGCTGCTGCGGTGGCCATCTACCAGGCTAGTCAGAGCGTGTACGACCAATTCGACAAAGCCGCCGTTCTCTACGAAGGTCGTCAAATCTACTTTGGACCTGCTAGCGAGGCGAAAGCCTACTTCGAGCGTCAAGGATGGTACTGCCCACCTCGACAGACTGCTGGAGATTTCCTCACAGCCGTCACCAACCCAGATGAGCGAAAGCCCAGGGAGGGCATGGAGAACAAGGTACCACGCACGCCAGAAGACTTTGAGAAGTACTGGCGCGACTCTCCCGAGTACAAAGCCCTACTCGAGGAAATCAAAGACTTCGAAGCCGAGAACCCAGTCAACGAGCACGGCACTCTAGAGACACTGCGCCAGCAGAAGAACTACATCCAGGCCAAACATGCCCGCCCCAGGTCTCCCTACCTCATCAGTGTCCCTATGCAGATCAAGCTCAATACACGACGAGCGTACCAGCGTATTTGGGGTGACGTAGCCTCTACAGCCACACAAGCCGGTCTTAACGTTGTCATCGCTCTCATCGTCGGTTCCATCTACTTCGGTCACTCCAATGGCTCCAGCTCGTTCCAAGGTCGTGGAGCAGTCATTTTCTTGGCCATTCTCTTCAACGCCCTTACGTCCATTGGTGAAATCTCAGGTCTATACGCCCAGCGCCCTATTGTTGAGAAGCACAACTCGTATGCATTCTACCACCCGTCGACCGAAGCTATCGCTGGTATTGTTGCCGATATACCCGTCAAGTTTATACAGGCTGTAGTCTTCAACATCATTTTGTACTTCCTGGCACAGCTTCGGTACACCGCTGGACAGTTCTTCTTGTTCTTCATCGTCACGTATATGGCAACCTTCGTCATGGCAGCTATTTTCCGCACAACTGCAGCCGTTACGAAAACAGCGTCGCAAGCTATGGCAGGCGCCGGCGTCTTGGTGCTTATCCTCGTTATCTACACTGGTTTCGTTATTCGCATTCCCCAGATGCCTGATTGGTTTGGCTGGATTCGATGGATCAATCCCATTGTAAGCTTGTTGCTCGCTCTTCTACCATCAAATGTTAACACTTTCTCTAGTTCTATGCATTCGAAATTCTCCTCGCCAACGAGTTCCATGGGGTCAACTTCCCTTGTGATAGCTTCATCCCTTCAGGTCCCGGATACTCCACAAATGGCAACTCGTTCATCTGTGACACTCAGGGTGCAATTGCTGGACAGACGTTTATCAACGGTGATAGCTTCATCGAGGTTTCGTACTCGTACTCCTGGAGCCATGTTTGGCGTAACTTCGGCATCCTTTGGGCTTTCCTGATCTTCTTCTTGGTCACCTACTTCATCGCCGTCGAGGTCAACTCTTCCACATCCAACACCGCTGAGCAACTCGTCTTCCGACGTGGTCACGTTCCAGCTTACATGCAACCTGGTTACAGCAAGGGTTCAGATGAGGAAGCTGGAGCTGCCGGACATGGTGAGAATGAAGGTGCTGGCGATGTCAGTGCTATTGAGGAACAAAAGGGTGTTTTCACTTGGCGCAATGTCGTCTACGATATCGAGATTAAGGGTGAGCCACGCCGATTGCTCGACCATGTCTCTGGTTTCGTCAAGCCTGGAAGTATGACCGCCCTTATGGGTGTCTCGGGAGCTGGAAAGACTACGCTTTTGGATGTTCTGGCTCAGCGAACCACCATGGGTGTCATTACAGGCGATATGTTCGTTAACGGAAAGCCTCTCGACCCCGCATTCCAACGCTCGACTGGTTACGTTCAGCAACAGGATCTTCATCTAGAGACCTCAACCGTCCGCGAAGCACTACAATTCTCCGCTATGTTGCGCCAGCCCAAGACTGTCAGCAAGAAGGAGAAGCACGATTACGTTGAAGAAGTCATCAAGATGCTGAACATGTCCGACTTTGCCGAAGCTGTTGTTGGTGTTCCTGGCGAGGGCCTGAACGTTGAACAGCGCAAGCTCTTGACAATTGGTGTTGAGCTCGCTGCCAAGCCGAAGTTGTTGCTCTTCCTTGACGAGCCCACTTCGGGTCTCGATTCACAGGTCAGTATTTTCACATTAATCTATATCTTGCCGGCGATTGCTAACTTCTTTACAGAGTTCCTGGTCTATCATCGCCTTCCTCCGCAAGCTCAGCAATGCCGGCCAAGCCATTCTTTGTACCATCCATCAGCCCAGCGCCATTCTCTTCCAAGAGTTCGACCGTCTCCTCTTCCTTGCCCGTGGTGGTAAGACCGTCTACTTCGGCGATCTTGGCGAGAACTCCCGAACACTTCTTGAGTACTTCGAGAACAATGGTGCACGTGCCTGTGGTGAAGATGAGAACCCGGCTGAGTACATGTTGGAGATCGTGAACGCTGGCAAGAACAACAACGGTGAGGACTGGTTCGACGTCTGGAAAGCGAGCGAAGAAGCCAAGGGTGTTCAGCAGCAGATCGATCAACTCCATGAGTCCAAGAAACATGAGAACCTCGATATTGCATCGGAGACTGGTGGTGGCGAGTTCGCCATGCCACTGACAACGCAAATCGTGGAGTGCACATACCGTGCTTTCCAGCAATATTGGCGCATGCCCAGTTACGTTATGGCTAAGTTTGGTCTCTGCACCATCGCTGGTCTCTTCATCGGTTTCTCCTTCTACCAGGCCAACACGACACTTGCAGGCATGCAGACTATCATCTTCTCGGTCTTCATGCTTACAACCATCTTTTCATCGCTTGTACAACAGATCCAACCCCTCTTCATCACGCAACGTTCTCTCTACGAGTCCCGCGAGAGGCCATCAAAGGCTTACAGCTGGATCGCCTTCATGGTTGCCAACGTCGTTGTTGAGATCCCATACGGTGTTATCGCTGGTATCCTTACCTTCGCAACTTTCTACTACCCGGTCGTGGGCGCGAGCCAGTCCAGTGAACGTCAAGGCTTGGTTTTGCTGTTCTGCGTGCAACTGCTCATTTACACGTCCACCTTTGCCGACATGACCATCGCAGCGCTACCCAATGCCGAAACAGCATCAGGTCTCGTCTCGCTTCTCACACTCATGAGTATCCTCTTCAACGGTGTTTTGCAGCCTCCGAGCCAACTTCCTGGGTTCTGGTTATTCATGTACCGCGTCAGTCCGTTCACGTACTGGATCGGTGGAATGGTCTCGACCATGCTTTCTGGTCGACAGGTTATTTGTAGCGCGCAAGAAGTTTCCGTCTTCGACCCACCGGCTGGCCAGACATGCGGCGCTTATCTAGCCGATTACGCTGCTGCCGCGGGCGGTACCATCCAGAACCCGGAGGCGACCACTAGCTGCAACTACTGCTCGTTGAGCAACGCGGACCAGTTCTTGGCGGGTTCGTCCATCTACTACGGCGAGCGATGGAGGAACTTCGGCATCATCTTCGCCTTCATCGGCTTCAACATTTTCCTTGCTATTCTTACTTACTACTTGTTCCGTGTTGCCAACCTCAAGAATCTTTTCCACAAGAAGAAGGGTCCTGCTAAGGCGAAGGAGGGTGCGGAGAAGGCAGCGCAACAGGGTGGACACCCTGGAGAGCGAAGTGGAGAAAAGGATGCTGGCACCGCTTGAGCTGCATAAAGTTGGTGGTCTCAAAGAGAGGTGTGGTTCTCTTTCGTACCTATAGATCTTTGGGTTATTTGATTTAATCAGTATAGTTAATACTAATTCCTATGTTCAAATCTTTGGCTTGCGTTTCTCAGGTGACAATATTTGTAAATGTAGGCGTGACGGCGACAAAAACGGTCCAGATGCAGTTCGACCATAGCCTCGGTACATGTAGTCTCCTTGGTACATCCATGGAGGCTTCGGCCCGTTATAGCTTCGAGCGGTATTCTCGAATGACTCGTCTTTGAGCCTCATGAAAGCAAGACCGGTACTAGAAGACGGTGGAGAGAAGCTATGGCATGTGAAATCTTGCAAGTTACCGGAAGGTCACGAGCGCACGCCTTGACCGTTATGTCAAAGCAAGGGTCGTTCCCTGCAGGCTCAATTGAGTACGCACGTATGAATGCGATCATGATCCAGTCACTCCCTCAGTATGGCACAGTTCCCGCAATAGCGGCTCAACATGGACGATGTGGAGTTGGAAACTCTTGAATGCTTAACCAGTCCTCATACCAGATTGAGTATCCCGAAAACGTCTTGTTCACTGATTCATAACATTACGTACGGGTAGTCCACTACGCATAGGCAAAAACAATGCGGTATTCTTAACCAAGAACGGTTTTCGGCTGCCGCGATGCGAGAATCTCCATGCTGCCAATAACTTGACCTGACGATCTACGCTCGACTTGAGGCTCAACTTCGGCCCAGAACGTTTTGCGGGGAAGTCTCTTGTGGAGCTCCGGAGCGATCCCCATGTCGCGATGCTGGGGTTTTCCAAGGATGCGTTTCTGATGTCGGTTTAGCGTCTACCGAATTTTACCACTTGCTCCGACGCTTGCTCCATGCACCGAAAATTTCTCTTCATCCGGGACCTCGTGACGATGCCCTATCGATGGTCGTCGGGACTTTTCGTCGGCAACACAGAACTTCCAAGATCTCGCCCCGCTTTCTGATGAACAGACAAGCCTGGAGACGTGGAGCTTGGCTGTGCATGGTCGCATTTTGCGCGGTTTCCCCATGTGCATGAGTCGTGATGGAAGGTGTACCGATGTGTTATGCGGAGACGGATACCGAAGAATACTCTGTCGATGAAACCTCCAGTTCCAGAGTGATGGTTCGTAGCACGTGGAGGAGACAGCATCCTCCAGGATCTGACGCGCGAAAGAGCTAACCCTGCGTAGTCGACTGCAGCGCCTCGAAGCGACTCGCTGTCACGAGTCATGTACTACACTCACGATCTCCGCAGATTCGCGCGAGTCAATCAACCCGCTCCGACCTCTTCGTTATTCTTTCTCCACAAGCATCTGCCGACGCGCATACAGACGTCCGACCAGGATCTTGGCAACCGCTATGCCGCCTTGAAATGACGTCGTCTGCCTCGAAACCAGGACGCCATTGGTATGGTACGGGTATGTGGAGACTCCGCAACCCGGACGGGCAAACTTCGGTACATGGTTGTGGCTGCCTCACTGGCTTCTAGCTGTATGATTCGGATCGTGAACTGCCACCGGACGGACGATTGTGCGCCGAGAGAGAAGCAGTATATAAGTACTGCGGTGTAGAACGACAATGGCTATCCAGGCACTCGATTCACCTTCGACAATCCGGAATCATGGCACCTTCTCTCGTCTCTGCAGTGCTCAAGGGCTCTGCCCTCCTGGCTGCAGTCAATGCCCAGAACTTTGCTGGTAGCGGCCGTGACGAAGATGCGTTTGAGTACGTACAGCCGGTCAACACTACTATCTTGACCGAGTATGGTTCCTCACCACCTGTTTACCCTTCGCGTAAGTTATCCTCTATCACTCACTATGGTCATCAATCTAACAGTTTGCAGCAAACATCACTGGCGCTGGTGGTTGGGAGATGGGCCTTGAGAAGGCGAAAGCTTTCGTAGCCCAGCTCACTATTGAGGAGAAGGCCGACATGGTCACTGGTCAAGCCGGACCTTGCGTTGGCAACATCGTTGCTATTCCTCGCCTTGGCTTCCCTGGTCTGTGTCTTCAGGATGGACCTCTTGGAATCCGTGTTGCCGACTACGCCAGCGTCTTCTCTGCTGGTGTATCTGCCGGAGCTACATGGGACAAAGACATCATGTACGAGCGTGGTCACGCCATGGGTAGTGAGTTCAGGGCCAAGGGCTCTCAGATCTTCTTGGGCCCTGTCGCCGGTCCTCTTGGACGTTCCGCCTACGCAGGCCGCAACTGGGAAGGATTCTCCTCCGACCCTTACCTCAGCGGTGTAGCTATGGAGAAGACCATCACCGGTGTTCAGGACGCGGGTGTGCAAGCCTGCGCAAAGCACTGGATTGGCAACGAGCAGGAGATTCTCCGCAACCCCCTCTACGAGAACGAGAACGACAACACAGAGACAACTACTGCAGCTCTCTCATCCAACATCGATGACCGTACCATGCACGAGCTCTACATGTGGCCTTTCGCCAACGCAGCCAAGGCCCGTGCCGCCAGCTTCATGTGCTCATACCAGAGGATCAACGGATCTTACGGATGCCAGAACTCTGCCTCACAAAACGGTCTGCTCAAGACTGAGCTTGGTTTCCAAGGATACGTTATGTCTGATTGGGGTGCCACCCACGCCGGTGTCGCTGCCATCGAGGCCGGTCTTGACATGAACATGCCTGGTGGACTTGGTGCCTACGGTCTGAACTTTGGCACGCCCTCTTACTTTGGTGGCAACATCACTCTTGCTGTCAACAACGGCAGTCTTGACATGTCCCGTGTCGACGACATGGTTATGCGTATCATGACCCCTTACTTCCAGCTCGGCCAAGATCAGGACTTCCCCTCCGCCGACCCCTCAGGTGCTGACCTCAACACCTTCTCGCCCCGCAGCACGTGGACCCGCGAGTACAATCTCACTGGCGAAGTTAGCCGTGATGTCCGTGGCAACCACGGTGAGCTGATTCGCCGACACGGTGCCGCCGGCAGCGTTCTCCTTAAGAACGTTGACCGTACCCTGCCCCTCAAGGCTCCTCGCAACGTCGCCGTCTTCGGTAACGATGCAGGCGAGCCAGTTCGCAGCTCCGTCCTCAACCAGCAGAACTACGAGTACGGCAGTCTCCTCGCTGGTGGTGGCTCTGGTACCGGTCAATTCACCTACATGATCACCCCTCTCCGTGCCATTCAGGACCGCGTCGCTGCTGATGGTGGTATCACCCAGTCCTTCCTCAACAATACTCACATCATCTCCAACAATGTCAGCCAGCTTGTCATTCCCCGCTCCATCCCTGATGTCTGCATTGTCATGCTCAAGACTTGGGCTGAGGAGGGTGCTGACCGTGCTCATCTCGCAAACGATTGGGATGGTGATGAGGTTGTCGAGTCTGTTGCTTCTTTCTGCAACAACACTGTCGTCGTTACTCACTCTGCTGGTGTCAACACCCTCCCATGGTCTGACCACCCCAACGTTACCGCTATCCTCGCTGCCCACTTCCCTGGTCAGGAGTCTGGAAACTCGCTCGTCGACATTCTCTACGGACACGTCAACCCTTCTGGTCACCTTCCTTACACTATTGCCAACAACGGCTCTGACTGGAACGCCCCTCCCACCACTGCTATCAACACCACTGGATACGCTGACTGGCAGAGCTGGTTCGACGAGAAGCTCGAGATTGACTACCGCCACTTCGACCTCAAGAACATGTCTGTCCGCTACGAATTCGGTTTCGGTCTCTCATACACCACCTTTGAGATCTCCGACATTGAGTCTTCCCCTCTTGAGCACAACATCACTTCCCACCCTGAGCAGCTCCCCATCCAGCCTGGTGGTAACCCCGCTCTCTGGGAGGGTCTCTACAACGTCACTGTTTCTGTTGCCAACACTGGTGACGTTGCCGGTGCCACTGTTCCTCAGCTTTACGTCGGCCTTCCCTCTTCCGCACCTGCTGGCACACCCATTCGCCAGCTCCGCGGTTTCGAGAAGGTCTATCTTGAGGAGGGTGAGAGCCAGAAGGTTTCCTTTGAGCTTCAGCGCAGGGACTTGAGCTACTGGGACATTGTCAGCCAGCAGTGGGTTATCCCTGAGGGCGAGTTCACCATCTGGGTTGGTCTCAGCAGCCGTGACCTGAAGGTTCAGGACAGCTTCACTGTTGTTAGCCAGTAGATAGATATTCCCAAGAGGGATTAGCATGTGATCTTAGTTTAACGACCACGCTACGATAATGTATAAGTTTAACGTTCAACTCTACCTCCCTTGCGAAGATCAACCCTATTTTTGTGCTAACCTCTTGATCTGTGCTAGGTGAGAAAACTTGTGGATGGAGAGACTACCTATTATCGCTCTGTGCTTTGCGGACCTCAAGGTATTGTAGAACATTCAGAGAATCAGAGACGAAGCGAGCAAGTTCACATCGTTGCGATAAAATATAGTCATCATCTATCTCCAACAAGACTGATCAACTTGTAGTTGACGTATCACCACCAAAGCTCCATCGCTTCACCAAAAAGTACTCCTCATCAGGCAGTTGCTTGGTGGCGCATGAGGTTTCTTTAGCAATTACCTTCATGAGTTCTTGTTTGTTAATCTGTTGTACAGATCGTTGGATCATACGATCGATCGTTTCGGTTGCAGAATATTTGTCTTTTGCGTCAAGTCCGAGATTCTGATCATCTTGTTCGTCGCTGCCGGCACTTGATGCCACATCCACCATCCAATTGGGGAGGACTACTGCAGACACAGTCTCGCTTTCGGTAGGACAAAAGGCGGTGTAGGTATTCTGTGGTTCCTTGATATTTGTAGTGGCGCCGGCGTGATTAGTACCTGGCTTGAGTATGAAGTTGCCCATATATCTGATTGTGGTGTATGAGTGATGGTCTGAAAACCGGTGTGGGAGCTTAAGTATTGACTCTGAACGCGGGCACGCTCTCTCACCTGGTGGATCTAGCGCAGAACGTGAGAAGCTGTCACCACCAAAACGGGGTAGAATTAGAGGCGAGAGACGAGACCACTCTATTGCGGAAACTGTGCCATACTAAGGGAGTGACTGGATTGTGCGCCTTCTTGACTCAGAAGATGCAAGCTCCTTCTTGGAGCAATGCTTGCTTTTAGTGGACATCAAGACTACGATAGCTATTTTGTCTACTAAAATACTTGAGAGAATACCTTAACACGGGTATAGTGTATGGACTTGTAGACATAGTTGTGCTGGTGGAGTGAAGACGCAAGCGGAAGTCCGAGGCACGTTCCAATCGGAGAAACCCCGGCATCCTCCCCGAAAGTGCAATCGCATAGTCGCGAACTCAAGCTTCCAGCATCAACGCCAAAGAGCTACCACCCCCAGTTTCCAGCTTCCTCACACGCGCACGACGCGCCAATCGCTTCAAAATGGCTGCAGCAGAAGCCGAAGTCGCAGACGCGCTCTACAACCTCCGCCTGAGCATCAAAGCCAGCGCAACACCCATCCTCACCACGAGCGCCGAACCTACACCTGCCGACACCGTCGCTGATCTCTCCGTCGCAACACACGTCTCCTTCAATACCGACTCTGGCGACCACAGAGTGTTTGCGCTGAACACACCCACGCGATTCGCCCCAGATGGCAAGGCGGTTGATTTGCGTAGCTGCTACTTCGCGTGGCTGAACAAGGACGCTTCTGTTACCGACTACTTCGCCGCTGTCCAGACAATCAACGAGGAGCTGCCTAGTGGTGCGGGAGGAAGTGTGCAGAATCTGACCTTCGCGCAGAAGATTGAGCTTATTGCTTGGTTGAGCGGAGAGACGGAGAGCAGTGATAGCATCGCTCCTATAGATGAAGGCGCCCTGGCTGCAGCCGCTGGTGATGCGGCAGCTATTGCAGGCGGAAAGGGCGTTCCAGTTGATGGAGGAAGAGGCACCAAAGTAGGGAGCGCGGGCAAGATGGTGGATGCGCGGTTACTGCAAATCTACGACGGAGAAAGGAAGATGGGGGACCACAACAGCGTGCTGAGAGGTACCAAGAACGTCGTATGTATCACCCAGCTTGTTAATATCGTCACAACGGTAGACTAACACATACCAGGACTTCTCATCTTACCGCAAGATCGCCAGTACATTCCTCCGCTCACGCCCCGACGCCAACAAAATCCCTGCGCCTCAACCTGCCCTGGTCGCGAACCTCCAAAAGCGTACTCAGCGCCGTCTGCAACCCATTATCCTCCTTTCTCCATCCGCCTCATCCCTCCTCCGTACCTCGAACGTAAAAACCTTCCTGAGCGACGGCATCTTCATCCCACCCAATACCACAGACTCGTCCAGCACATCCGCCTCAGCAAACATGATCCAGATCCAACGTCTCCTCCCCTCCATCTCCTCACAACCGTTGACATTTATCTGCGTTGACTCCACCGCCAGTTTCAAGCCTACATACTGGAGCCGTGTAGTTGCCATCTTCACTACAGGCCAGCTCTGGCAATTCAAGAGCTACAAGTACACCCAGCCAGCTGAGCTTTTTGCAAACTACCCGGGTATTTTCGTGGGCTGGAGCTCAGAAGAGCCACCGGAGACGGTCAAGCAGCTGGGTAGGGGTGTGCTGCCTGTAGGCGTAGACAAGTGGACGGGAAGCGAAAAGGGTAGGTGGAGGGATCGCGAGGTTGTAGAGAGAATTTGGGGCAGGATCGAGGAGGGCATGCGGAAGGGCGGTTGGACTAGAGATGGACCTGGTCTCGCTGGGCAGCAGGGACGATAAGAATCGAGACCATGTGTGCCTTAATAGGGGTCGAGTTTGTATCGATATGTTACGGAAGTCTATGCTGGGGTTCCTGGGTGTTTAGGCGTTGGATTACCATGCATGGTCGGCATAGCGCGCGGTGTATACCTTCCAAAAGCTGGTTTTGCGTGTACTAGATTTGACGGAAGAACAAATTCAACGTACAATAGCGACATGTTCAGACCATTCAACTAAAATACAATCGGTTGTGACAGTCATTCATTCATATATGTCATTCAAATCCGTGATATCTCATCCCAATTAGAAACACCTTTGATCCAAAACCCGCAGAGCAGCCGCTCGCCAGATGTAAACGATAACTCCTGATAGATAGACCGAGGTCATAACTTTTTTTTCTCCCTCTAACCTGTGCCGTCTACCACTCCAGTGGTTCGGTAATCTCCTCTCCACGGTTGGTCTTGGGCACCGGTTGCGCCTGGACCTTGACCGGTCCGCGTCCATGCCTCTTCAAGTACCCACTTCCATCCAGCCAAGGCCAGACGGCTGTGCGCTTCTGCTCATGCTTCTCGATCTTGTCGACGTTGGCCATGGTCAGGCCAATGTCATCGAGTCCGTTAACAAGGCAATGTTTCCTGAACTCCTCAACTTCAAACTTGGCCAGTTCGGTTCCATCCGCAGCACGGATGACTTGGTTGGGAAGGTCGACTTCGATTTCTTTGCCAGCGTTCGCTTCGTCAGCGACGCGTTTCAGGACAGCCTCGTCTCCGATACGGATGGGCAGCATGCCGTTCTTGAAGGTGTTGTTAAAGAAGATGTCGCCGAACGATGGGGCGATGATGCATTTGATGCCGAAATCGAGGAGCGCCCAGGGTGCGTGCTCGCGACTTGAACCGCAGCCAAAGTTGGGTCCTGTGCATACTAGAATCTTTGAGTTGCGGTAAGGCTCCTTGTTCAGTACAAAGGATGGGTCTTCCTTGTCACTGCCAGCTTCGAAGCGCCAGGCGTGGAAGAGAGCACTGCCGAGACCAGAACGCTTGATGGTCTTGAGGAACTGCTTGGGGATAATGGCGTCGGTGTCGATGTTTGCCACGTCCATGGGCGCCGCGTATCCGCGAAGAGTCTCGAACTTGGGCATACCGGCTGAGGCGCTGCCTGTGCTGCTAGTGTTCGAGGCGGTGTGCTGAGGTCCAGAGCTGGGAAGGTCCATAATCTTTTCGAACTCTTCGTCACTGCTGGGAGGCTCGACTTGAGCGTCCAGCTCGATCTTCGGTGAGCCCTTAGCCTGTGCCGGAGCCTGCGGGGCGAGTTTCCGTACATCGGCAAGGTTTCCTACGATAGCGGCAGCGGCGGCCATAGCAGGCGACATGAGATGTGTTCGGCCACCAGCACCCTGTCGGCCCTCGAAGTTTCGGTTGGAGGTTGACGCACATCGCTCGCCAGGTGACAGAATGTCGGGGTTCATGCCCAAGCACATTGAGCATCCAGCCTCTCTCCACTCGAACCCGGCATCACTGAAGATCTTGTCAAGACCTTCGGCCTCTGCCTGCTTCTTAACCAGACCAGAACCCGGGACGATCATAGCACGCTTGATGTTAGAAGCCACCTTCTTGCCCTCAACGATTTGAGCAGCTGACCGAAGATCCTCGATACGAGCATTTGTGCAGGATCCGATGAAGATCTTGTCAAGGGGAATCTCCTGCATCGGGGTGCCGGCAGTCAGGCCCATATACTTCAGAGCACGTTCGCACGCCAGCTTCTTGGTCGCATCCTCAAAGTCGTCGGGTCCAGGTACAACGCCAGTGATGGGGATGACATCCTGTGGCGAAGTGCCCCAAGAGACTGTCGGGGCAATGTCCTTTGCGTCAATCGAGACCTCAATGTCGTATTTGGCGCCCTCGTCGGACTTAAGTCCAAGCCAGTAGTTGCAAGCTTTCTTCCACTCTGGGCTGTCGACCTTGGGTGCAAGGGTCTTTCCCTTGAGATAATCGATAGTGATCTGATCAGGCGCGATCATACCAGCTCGTGCGCCACCTTCGATTGACATGTTGCAAATCGACATACGCGCCTCCATGCTCAAGCCGCGGATAGCCGAGCCACAGAACTCGATGACGGCACCTGTTCCTCCAGCCGTGCCAATCTTGCCAATGACGTGCAGGATAATGTCCTTGCTGCCAACACCAGGTCCGAGTTCTCCGTCGACCTGAACCTTCATGTTCTTACTCCGCTGTGTGATGATGGTCTGGGTGGCCAAGACGTGTTCTACCTCGCTGGTACCGATACCAAAGGCGAGAGCACCGAAAGCGCCATGTGTGGATGTGTGACTGTCACCGCATACGACTGTGGTGCCGGGCAGCGTGAAGCCCTGTTCAGGTCCGATGATGTGCACGATGCCCTGCCTCTTGTCGTCAAGGCCAAAGTATGTGAGGTCGAAGGCCTTGACGTTCTCCTCGAGAGTCATGCATTGTAACCGCGAGTCGGTCTCTTCGATGAATTTCTCGGTCGTGGTGAGGTTTTTCCGCGAGGCGGTAGGGATGTTCTGTTGCTGTTAGTCGCTGATGTATTCCCCGGAATGGGGAACATACGTGGTCGACTGTGGCGAGGGTGCAGTCTGGTCTTCGTACTCGGCGGCCGGCGTTTCGGAGACCCTCGAATGCTTGCTGTGGTTGTATAAGCGTGCGCACTTAAGTTACGGATTGCGAGATCTGCCTACTGGTGATGTCACTTCGTGGACAAGATGCCTATCTGCGCAGCAGTCAGTACAGAACAAGTAGGCTACACAGCGCAGTACATACCAATATACAGAAGGATTGTGCCATCCTCCTTCTCTTCGACGATGTGGTCTTCAAAGACCTTGTCGTACAGGGTCTGCGGCGGTTTTACTGCAGACGGCATTTTGAATATATATGGGTTATGAGTAGTACAACAAATTCAATTTGAGTGCACTGAAAAGTTGAGAATGAGCAATAGAAGTAAGAGACACTCGGCAAGGGCAGGGACTGGCTTAAATGAGGCGCATGTGGGAACTCAAATCGCTGGAAGGCGAACGAGGCACAAAAAGATGCCGGCCGATGTTCGGAGTCGACGACAAGAGGGGCACAGCCGCCAATCACGCTGCGATTGATGACGGACCACTTCGGCCTCCACCGCTGTCGGGCTGCGTTATTTCACTATCTAGTAGGTGATAATTCACGATGCTGATCTTGAGCCATTAGAGACGCAAGGAACCTTGCCGCGCATCTCGTCTGGCGCTGAGAGAGCTACTCTAGGCACTGTTTCCGCTACCGATGACGACGTTCACGTGCGAAGAGGTCCGACTCTGCCCCGCACCGTGCATGCCCCACTGCACCGCCTCTCGATCCATCTGCAAAAGTCAGCCAATTTCCCAGCCCTCCGATTTGACATTTCATGAGCATGTTTCCAGGACGGTTGACGTTGCCCTGGCTAACCCACACGTTTACCCAAGCGTTGTAATGTTGAACGTAGGACTTTACAAACGGTGCAAATGTTTGCGAGAGGCGGTCAAATGGGGAAAAAAAGAAACCACCTCGATAGGAGGGCGAATTGCTTCTTTCGATAGGAATCCTTCGATAGAATCAATACTCCTTCTTCAACTTCAAACCTATCAGGGCACGGTAAGCAGCATATGCCGAAGTCATATATCTACTCGGTATCAGGACATTGCCGGCCGGCCCATGTAATATATGACTTTTAAGTACATTTCGTTTTACCACTACTCGAGCAGACAACGCCATGTGAATAGTTTACATGTCCCACAACCCGTCAATCTATACACACATATCCATACATCTACAGATTGTCCGCGGTGAAGATAAGCAAAGCCATCCGATGTCGTACAAACAGCCCTAGAACTCCAACCGCGAACTGGAACGCGAGCAAACCCATGGCTAAGCGGTCTTCCCGCATTGGACCGAACCATACTAACCATAAATTGATTAGTGTAAAATTGCTCGACGAAACCACCTGCCCCTTCGCATCAATCTCAACATCAAGCATCCGAAGCCGGTGCAGCACCTTGAGGCTCTCCGCTATCGGTCGTCGTAATGGTTTGGTAAATTCGACGCGCGATGGCTCCAGTAGTCCTGTCCGTGCGTTGAAATGCGGAAGCCGATGTCGGGGACATGGTACGATATGGAAGAGCTGGGGTGCCGAGTAGACGAAGTTGAACGCTTGCGGTATGAGCAGCAAGATCAGCGTTTTACTGAAATGGCCGAGGATAGCGACTACAGCGAATACCATGCCCGCAAAATAGCAGTAAGTATCCCCCACAAACACCTTTGCTGGATACCAGTTGTGCATCAGTAGAGCCAACGAGACACCGATAAATGGTAGTAGCAAATACAGCGAGAACAGATGGGAGTCTGTTGCAGGATGCGGATACGTCGTGAATGGCGAGAGATAGAGCATGTCGTTGCCAACAATCAGGACTGCGATGACTATAGACTGAGCCACCTCGATACCGTTGATACCCGCCAGGATGTTGATGCTATTTGAGGAGAAGATGGACATGAGCGCCATGTAGACGTAGTACAGCCAGCCTGGACGTATATCAGTACCTCGTTTCGTAATCATGCTCGACATGGATGCATACCTAGATCAAAGAGTTCGCCCAGGTAAGGTCTCAGTGGTACCGGGACAACCATCTGTGTGACGCCAAAGTCGACAAAGTAGACGACGAGCATGGGAATGACTGCAAATGCGGGGATGAGCACCTTGTGTCGCCATCTTATGTCGAACAAATCGTCACCAATTCCAAGCAGTACGATAGACTGAAGGGAGAGAATAGCGGATAGGTAAGATGCAAGCTTGTTGTGGGGAAATCTGTGTAGTAGCCTCCCGGTCTCGATCAGCTCCAATTCCTTTATGATATCCCTGTTGCCACCCCCTGACGTTGCGACTACAATGTCCTTGTAGAAAGGCCATGGTATGAAGAAGATCAGGACGAAAAGGTACACCATCGCACACACTGCTCCCATCATCTCAGGGCTGTTTCCGTCAGTTAATTGACAAGCGGATCAGAGTACGTGGCACTTACATCTCAATCTGTTTGAGCTTGCAGAGATCTCGCCCCTTGAAGCCACGCTTCATGAAAGCATTTCCAAGCCATCGTATCAAGGCATAGCAGAACGCAAACGCTAGACCACTGAGCGCTATCGACGCAACAAGCGGCTCACCGTCACCATGAAGAGTGTTGGTCAGCACCCCAAGGCAGGCGATAGACAAGGAAAGCAGTGAAAGCGTCTCTGTCGATGACAGCGCACTCGTCATGGTGACTGTAATTGTGTTGAATGCCGTGGTGACGGCGGATCTTGGCACGTAGACGCCTGTAGTTGTTGACTCCGCCCAGCCGTTTACTGTCGCGACAATATCAGCGACGGTCGCGCAACTCCCTCACAACAGCATCAACTGAGCTCGCCGCTCTGCCCAATAATAACCTCTTTGTCTGATTCCGGAGCCTGATTTCGCGTGAAGTGTTCGAACCGGACTTGAGACTGACAGAGAAAGCCAGCAGATAGATCCACAAGTTTCAGCAACGAGCCAGAAAAGCTCACGACGTGAGCGAGAGACGACAAGAGCAGAACGATCTGCACGAAGTTGTGGTTGCGGTGTTTGGTGAGTAGAGATTCTGGCAAGGTGTTGTTTCGGCTTCTTCCTGCTCTGCTAACCCGAAACGATAGACCCACGAACATTGGCATCAAACATGGCCGGCAACAACAACGCGGGCGCCCCGGCAAGGACCGATCATCTCTTGGACGGTCTGAACGCCGTAAGCACTCACCTTACTTCACCAAACTTCCTTCGACAACTGACTGCGTCCCGTCTGCCGTCGGCTGCGGTGAGCGATTCGTCGTCCTTGAGCCCCACCAAAGACGAAGCACGGTCGCGTGCACGCAAGCCGGACTTCAACATCGCCGTCGCGCTCGAAGATGAAATCGAGGACGCAGACCTGATCGCTCCCCTGATTCAAGAGCCTTGTGCCGACGGTAGCACAGGTAGTATTGAGCAGCGCGTCGTCGACCACCTAGAGGTGAACTTCGTGGACGCGCATCGCGTCTACGCCAAGATGGCTGCAGCGCAGAGCTTCCAGACCTTCTCGCATGGCCACCAGGACCTCGTACTCGCCGTCGACTTCAATTACTTCGGCACGCGCATGGTCACGGCAAGTTCAGACCACCGTGCCAAGGTCTGGGACAAGAAGGACGATTCGTGGACCCTCGTCGAGAGCTGGAAGGCTCACAATGCTGAGATCATCGATGTAAGTTATCTAATCTTCAGCCGCAAATCTCCTTTCGGTCGCCTGCATGTCATTTCGCCACCTTTGTGAACCATCGCTAATCTGATGCTAGATCAAGTGGAACGGCCCGTTCATGGGCGAGGTCGTCGGCAGTATTGGTGAAGATGGCCACTGCAAGATCTGGCAAGAGGATGCTACTGAGGTGGCCATGTCTGGCAATCGCTTCAAGCTGATCTACAACCTGCAGTCGTTGACCAACGCTCCATTCATGTCTTTGGACTTTAAGAACATCATGCAGGAGACTTGGCTCGCGCTCATCACCCGCGACGGCTATCTCACTGTGTATGAGCCTCAAGACCAGAGTAACCTCCATGAGTGGACTATCCTGGCAGAGCGCTGGGTCTCCGAGAACAATCCTCCAGAGCGCCAAGATGAAGTGGGCTTCAAGGTCGTTTTTCACAAGGAAAAGCTGCCATGCTGGACCGCCATTACCGCTGGCCTCGATCGGAAGTCGCTATCCCTCGCTGTTGCCGCTATGAAAGACGTCCTCATCTTCCGAACTGACAAGGCCAAGCGCTTTTTCCAGGTTGCAAAGCTGGAGGGTGCGCGCCAGATCATTCGAGACTTGGCTTGGGCTAACGGCTCTATGCGGGGCTACGATATCTTGGCCACAGCTAGCAAAGACGGAGCTATTCGCATCTATGAGCTTCGCACGCAGACCGATGATAAGAGCGCTGCGCCTGGAACTGCATCGTCATCGGCTCCGCTGTCAGTATCTCCGCGAGGTCATCGACAGAACGCGCCATCTGGAATTGGAGCTGGACTGGCCGGAGCTTCGAAGGCTCCCGATGCGTCTCTCGAAAACGAGCAGTATCCTGGTCGCATCAAGCAGAAGGCAGAGATGACAGATGAGCTGACCAACCATCACGGAGCAGTTTGGCGTGTCACATTCTCACAGATGGGTAAGCCAGTCCAACGGAACATGCATGGCTACAGCTAACAGCTAATATAGGTGATCTTCTCGTTACTACTGGAGACGATGCCAGCATTCGCACCTGGAAGAAGGCCGCTGACGGCCACTGGCAGGAATACGCCCAGATTGAGACCGCCGAAGACTAGCGGGCTAATCCAATTCTGGTATGCCCAAGTTCCAGATGCGTTTCCGACACATTGTGGTTCAACATGAAAGCATGATTATGATATTTACGGCGTTGGTGGTAGATGAATTGGCAATGGTCTTTTGGCAAGCAGGTATCGCAAGCTAAGCGCACTGCACAACGAACGACTCTGGGATCATTTAGGGCGAGTTTTGTACGACTCATTCTCGGTGTTTAGGCATATGAAGAACATCACACGGCACACGACGCAGTGGTGCATTCTGGCTACCGCACTCCGTCAAGTCATCCCACGTTTGGATACCCACGGCTATCCATCACGGAGCTTCAGCCATATCATGGTGGGAACTTCAACTCTCTGTATAGTACAAGTATCGATCGACCAAGTATAAAGTGGCGTTTCGTGTTATATCGTATTGTCCGATGCCAACATTCGCTTTGTTGATATAGAAACAGCGCAGGGCAGAACATATAGCCCTGAAGCAGGCCGATAACGTACTCTATTACCAGTATTTGCGTATTTCTGGATGATATAGGTTGTCATGTTGCACCTAGGGGGTATATGTAGAATGATAGGTGAACAGCCACAAGGCGCGGGAACTGAAAGCTGTCCAGATAAGAGGTACTATCGATAAGGCCGTGGTTACCTCCCAACGAGCGCATCCTTCATCTCTGGGTATTCTCTCCATAGGTTGACTAGCGGGAGAAACAGGTTCTTCTGCACCTCTTTTCCTTCTTGTTCAGCCTTTGCTTGCTCTCCAGCCCAAGCCCACATCTGTGTCCAGGGAATCCAACTCCACGCAGCACACTTGTGCGGTTCCATGGGCTACCAAGTTTATCAGCTCTCCATTCTCGACTGCCGATACACTAGGACAAACGAGAGCTTACCATCGGTGTCTTGTTATCGCCAGTGATGGTACAAGTGACGAAGATAGTCACGTAGTGCTTCCCCTCTCCAAACACATCATTTGTAGCAGTCAGAAATTTGATGTTGCCCACCTCAAGCCCTGTCTCTTCCAACACCTCTCTTGCAGCCGTTTCAGCGAATGATTCGCCGTACTCGAGGTGGCCTCCGGGGCACTGGAGAGTACCTGCGCCATGGGAGCCTGCGCGCTCTCCCATGACAATGTTCCCTGCATTATCGTGGATGATGACACCTACACCAATCTTGGGTCGCTCTGCTTCTGTCATGCTGGGTGAATATGCTGAATACTTGCTCGCTGATAGATTCTGATTACAAGGTCGAATTGCAGAAGTCGTGAACACCTCTACTGGCTGAGGCTGCATGTGTGAGTCTTCCTCGAGGTCGCTACGCGCTAGCGCTCGATGCGTCCTAGCTGGGGGGCTAATCAGAAGTTATACTCCCCCAAACCGCACCATCCTCAGCTCCTCATTGCAATAACTTGTTATTTCCACTGTATCAATCGTCTGATTTCCATGAGATGCTTGTAGCGGGCTTGAGATGTCAGGGCCTAGAATCTTTGAAGCTGCATGAGGACTAGAGACTGAGTGGGGTAGAAAAGCGTTGCATGATACTAGGGACGTGGTAGGATTAGCGTGCGTAGATTAATCGAACTGAAGACGTGGCCATTCTGATAGTGGATCCGACGGCGGTTGTATCTGAACATGGAGGATGAGGCATCACTCAATTGTACTGAACAAATTTCTATTGAGTATATAATTATCCCAATGACCACTTCCTTTCATCCAATCAGGCTTCGTGGCGCAATGGTAGCGCGTCAGATTCCAGTACCACCTGGAGCTTCCTGAAGGTTAGGCGTTCAAATCGCCTCGAGGTCACACCTGATTCAATTCTTTTTGGCCAAAGAGAGCAGCAATCTTTTTGCTGCTGTGTGGATCCGATGCGTTGATGCATCATTGTGCTTGGTCGATTGCGGTAAAGAGGGGTGGCTCCACCGAAAAGAACCGAGGATCTGGGCCGACATTTTTGCTGAACCATGTTCATTTCTGAGACTGTTGTGTATTTGCTGAGATTGCGGGAACTATCCGAAAGATCCGAAGACGACTGCTTTGCCAGATGAATTGTCCTCCTGCAGCATAGACTTCTCGAGCATCAGAAGGAGATGCGACGTTCTTATGAGCAGTTCTACCCTGTATCAGCAGTCGGCCCAAGAGAAAGGACGGCGCGACAACTTACCGTCAAGCTCGATATCGTAAGTAACTGGCATATCCTCATCGGTGCTGATAAGGATCGGTGCGTCCCTTCGAAGTTTCCTCTCCCTCACATTGAAACGTATACCGCTGTCTTTCCTGGGACTAACCCACAGAATGCGCGGATCTTCCAAGTCCGCCTTCTCTTCTTTTACTTCTCTTACGACCTCTTTCCCCTTACCTATTTCCTCCACGATCTCAATTGGTACTTCTGTGTTAGTCTTCGATCCTTTCGCCGCGATGTCGTGTAGCCACTCTCTCCACACTCGAAGTACGCCTTCCTCAATGTCAACGAAATTGGTAAAGAGATTATGAGATCCAATCTTCACAAGGTTGGTCTGCGCGACCAGCTGCGTGAACAGTTCATGCGCCTCCAATCCCAGCGTCTGCTTGACCGTTTCACCTTGGTACTTCTCCTGCACTGCCCCTGGAAAGGTGCGACTGCCAGGTACGTCTCCAGGTCTTGGCTTCACTCTCCGCCCGCCCGCTTCAAGATCGCGCCTATGTGGACGGAAGCGAGAGTACATGTTATACATATCGCCTAGTCTACCAACCTCTTTTGTGCTCGAATTCGACTCATCGTACTGTGTCAAGCCGTCGGTGCATCTGTATGTACAAAAATATGGCGGCTCGGTGAGTTTCGCGGAGGGGTGGAAACATTCGAGTAGCACAGAGTGCGAGTGCAATTCTGCAGCTGCAACAAGCCGGTTATGCAGGATGCGTAGGATAAGCGTGTATATACGGTG